CAAAAGACTTTCACCATTCAGTATCAAAATTGAAAATCTATATGACATATCAGAGAATCTCAGAATTTTGAAGCTTCAACGTCATTTGCCTCATCTTACATCTTTCCAATTAAAAGAAACACAGACAGACACACACCAAAGCAATTGCTTGCTTCGGAATCCGCATCGCTGATTCTGAGTGGCATCACTGGAGGCCTATTTGAAGAGGGATGAACGGAATCCCTGAGCTTTTATTGGAGGACTTCGAGCTAGGGCCTCTCTCAAAGTCGGGCTGAGCACACAATCTTAGACTAAATGCCACCGTTTTCTATACTCAGGAAGTTTTGGAGATTTAGAAACAGACAGTTCCTGGCAGTGTCATGAAAATAGCAGTTGTTTGTCTCGGGAGAGAGAGAATGCACTGTCTCTGTGCACTGCAGACACACTCTCACGGAAGCACCATTTCTGCGTCTCTCAGATCAACGTCTGCCTCCATCAGCTACACTGACAGGAGGTCACCCTCTTACCGAGCAGGAATTGCACCAGATTCCTAACACGTATTCACACCAGCTTCTGGGAAGTCCTGTCTCCCCCATTCACCAAGATATGAGGATGAAAATGTTGCTACATCTCTCGTTCCACTGAATTCGTATGGTTAATGCCCCCTGTCTGAGTAGATAGACACCGGCTAAGGCATAATCTTCCTAACACTAATTTTTTTAATAAAAAAAAACCAGATATAGATTTAGATCAACAAAGGGGCCTTAAAATTAATGGAAACATTCTATTATTATTAAGTCCCTTGCTACATGGACTGTTCGGTCTCCGTCTTTTATGCATCATTTTGTCAAAGATGAACAGCAGCTGTTCTTTGGTATGATCCCTCATCTGACACAAGCATGCTTTATTATTTTAAATTAAATTTTATCTGGAGTTTTCTGTGTGTTTAAATACAGTCAAATGGATGCCTTGGGGAAGACTTCCCTTTCTTCATTCCGTTTTAGTAAAGGATTCCTAGCAAAGCAAAACTGCTGTAGTTTAAGGTGATAGATCAGTGAGCCGTTCGAGTTCTTTATCATTCATTAATCTGATGCTCATGCTACGTCATTGCTTAAGTGTGTAACAGGGCAGAGTAAAGAAAAAGAAGCAACCTTCTGTTGCAGTTCAAATGAACTCATTGTTAATTAACATCTTCTCATGAATAGCACCACCTGGAATTGAACGAGACATTGACCAACCAAAGTGGGGTTCGAGTAGAGAAGCTGGGATGCTGTCCTCATCCCCAAACAGGAGCAATGATAGTCCCTCCCTCAAAACACATTTCAGAGGGCAGGGTAAAACAGGACATGGAAAAGAGTCAGTATACATCTGCCACTGTGATACTCATCCTTTATGATACCGCTCAATGGCATTATACATTACACTACCATTCACAAATTAGTGATAGAACTTTGCCCTCCCTGCTATCACATAGGTTTGAATTCTACCATGTTTTATTGATACATCTAATATATATATTCTATTTCTTTATACATCTAATATATACATTCTATTTATTTATACATCTAATATATACATTCTATTTATTTATACATCTAATATATACACCTAATACCATATTTATTTACTTATACATCTGCTATATATATTTAATAACATTTTGTGGTTTTGTTTAAATTCATACCTGTTTCCTTAAGTAATACAACGTGCACATACACATTCAGGATTCTTTGTATGAGGTTCTGACTCTTCCTACTGACTCCACGCCTGCTGCTCAGGAGTACCAGTTTATCATCTATGCATTTGTCAACAATTCTGGGAGGTTATAGCCCAGGCTCAGAGTTAAATATATAAGAAACCAAACTTTATGTTTCCATGTGTCTGTTGTAAGTAGCCCTAACTGAGGTACATACCTGCATTCAGAAAAGGTAAGTGATCTTTGCTGCTCACATTTTCTGGGGCTGTACATTCACACACCAGTGCACACTAGGAAAGAATAAGAGAGAGAAAATAAATATATACATATACACACACACTTTGAAAATAACAAAATATAAATAAGTTGGAAGTTATGTACAAAATGTTTTAAAGTTCTGGACAAGTATTTTTGTGAAAGTATTTCTCATCTTTTTTGATATAATCATGAACTACATTTCTGTCCCAAAGCAGTTAAAGACTATTTAGGGAAAAGGAAAAAAAAAAGAAAAAAGATCATCAGCATACTAGATATAAGTTCCTAGCAGAGTAAATCTGGTATAGCAAACTGAGTAGTTTTGCATTTCTCTCACCTAGGACATCATCATATAAAAAATTATATATGTATAATATATGTAGCATCAAATAATATGAAATACTTATATAAAACAAAATGCATATAATCTGTATGCAAACATATATATATATATCTTTAAAAATTCATGGAAAAATTCCATTATCTTGTAATTTTCCCAAGATTTTTAAATCCACCTCATGTTTATGTATATAACAATTTTCAATTGTTCGCTGTTGATATAACAAAACCTCAAACTAATTGTCACTGAGTAATCCTGACTCATAGCAACCCTGTAGGACAGAGTGAAACTTCCCCTGTGGGTTCCTAAGACTGTAGCTCTCTATGGGAGTAGAAAGCCTCATCTTTCTCTGTGGAACAGTTTGAACTGCTGACCGTGCGGTAGCAGCCCAATGCATAACCACTATGCCACATAGACCAGCAACTGACCTTTATATGTTAACATTTTATCCTGTGACTTTGTGCTCTCATGTATTAGTTCCAAGAGATTTCACAAAGATTTTTGGAATTTTCAAA